TACATTTGGTACCTACAATTTTTTATTATGCTATTTTAGTACCTAAATTTTTTAAAGTTTACATAGTGGTCCAAGGCTTGAATGTCCATTTGATCCGTGGATTAATCCATCAATCCATTTGATCCATGAATCCACCAATCCATTTGATACAATCCATATGATCCATAGATCTACCAATCCATTTGATTCATATGGTTCATGGATCCACCAATATGATTCACCAATTTACAAATCGTATCCATTTGCCCACACCAGGCGGCAAACCCGTAGTTTGTGGTGAAAGAAAAGCATTTAATTGAACCATGAGCACTTCTACTATGCTTTAAAGTATTGGTGTTTAAAGTACAACTTTAACTTGCATCATAACGTTAAAAGTACAAATTAAAGTTATACCATAAGGAAATTTGACATTTATGTTATGGTACAACTTGAAGTTGTAAAGTTGTACAATAACCATGGTCCATGAAACCGTACCGGGAAAGTCAGCGGTAGGGTATTTTATGGTAAAACCGTGATTTAACCGTAGTTCAACCGTTATACCGGTAAATACCGCCTATCGGTTTAGCCTCCAATACTGGTATTTCGTGGTTTAACCGCCGGTACGGGACGGTTTCATGGACACTGACAATAACACAAATATACAACTTTAGTTTATACTATAAAGAAATTTTACTAAAGAGTATAATTACAACCTAAAGTTGTACCATAACATTAAAAGTACAACTTCAAATTGTACTATAAAAACAAAAACTAAAATACCAATGCTTTATAGCATTGTAAAATTCCACTTGAGCCGGAATGGGATTGGGTACTAACTCTTTAAAGGGTTAGCACCATCCTAAGTAATTGAATGGCCATTAAATTAAAAAGTAATCCTATGGACAAAATTAAATCGAGGATAGTTTAGTCAATACCCATCCAAACCCTAATATAAATACTATTTAATGGCCTCCCCTCTCCCAGGGCCGGCCAAGAGGGTGTGCTGGCCTGCCCTCCGGCACAGGGCCTCAGAATATTAGGGGCCTCTACTTAGATTTGTTAGTTACTGATCGTATATTGTAGGTTGTATTTTTAGTGTATGATTGATTGATTATGAGTATGATGATGTGTTTAATAGATAATTTTAGCTATAATAACAATTGAAAAGGATATCATGGAGAATACGAAAATCTGAAAAATAATAGATAATTTTAATTTAAACAATATAGAAAGATATTACATTTTGAATAATGTTATTATAATCATTTTAGTTTTATTATAGTTAAAGGTCGATTTGGACCACGTCTAGATTTTGAAATAGGGCCTCCACGATCTAGTAGCAACCCTGCACCCACCTCTCGATCAATTTAGACCATTTTCATTTCTCCATTCAATTTTTGCGCTATATCCATTTTCTCTTCTTTCCAGATTTACTTTCCTCCCTACTAGGGCTGGGAATTCGGTCTTGGTTTCTTGGTCAAACTGGAAACGAGATCGTTTATTCCTGATGTAATCTTTTTCTGAACTTAAGTATTTTTTTACAATTATTTACTAATTTTTAATTTTGATAAATTTATGGAAAAAAATTAGGGCCACATTTCAAATTTTCGAACAGGGCCTCCAAATATCATGGGACGGCCCTGCCCTCTCCCACAAACCCACATCTCACCCACGAACCAACTCCTCACTCTACCTCGTCTCTTATGCTATGCGATGAGAGTGCCGGAATCATCGCTGCGCCGCCCGAACCTTCATCGTTGTCGCCTACTTCGTTAGCCTTTCCACCATCTTTGTCTCTGCCAACAGCCGAGGTAAAACGTGTTTCATATCAAGCCTCGTCTAGGCGGAAGCGGCAGCGACGACAACATCGTGCATTCCATTGGTGTCCAGATCCGCTAAAGAAACTATCATCACATCTCGCCGGCCGACGTACGTTAAGTCTCCCATCTCAGCCATCATCATCGTTATCCTTCGCAGGCCAGGGAAGTGGCCGCTTTGGTTGCATATGTGAGTTAAGAAGAGGATTTGAAGAACTGAAGATGAATAATCATAATTTGTTCAGACTATAAAATTGGGATGGCCACAGAAAATGGGTGAGGAAGGAATATCTCGAAGCTATTTGCACCACACGAGACTAGGGTTTCATAGCGGCAGCTGTGTCATTTTTTCAAAATATAAATTATTTCAATTAGTAATTTCTTTTTTAGTGTAATAAATTATTGTTTTGGCAATTAAATCATAAGAAGTGATTTTTAATGCAGGGGGCAAAATACCGGTACAAGTTATATCACCTCAAGATGCTGAATTCGATCCCTTTCAACATCGGCATTTATTATAAATTTACCATAATATACATGTAACAAGCCAAAAGAGTTTAACTCCGTCTATGCATCAGTATAACAAAAAAGAAAGTTCAAATAATTAGTTAAGGACAACAAGTGTACGTGACATTTTTTTGGTAACGAGCAAGTGTGCATGACTTAAAATAGCATCATCAATAAGCTTATATCCAAATGCTGGAATTGATTATTTTGGGCCTTTTGAAGCATTAGGGAAAGAAAAATACTATCATATGCATTTGTCTGTTGTGTCGTGGCATGACCTAATTAATTTCTTTGATTAAAACAACGTTGATTTTTGCAACGAATATAAATGGGAAATTTTTTGTAAAAAATCATAGTATGTATTTTTATTTTATTTTCACATTATAACTTTCTAGACATATAATTCAAAGAAACCTCGTAAGAGTGGGCTTTTTATTGACGTTGCACTAGGTTTTTGCTCACCAATCTCTAAGTTCAACTAAAGAGCATTGTTGGATTGGTGGTGTCTTGGCTTGAGATTAGCTAAGGTTGGAATTGGTGTTGGTGTCGCGTCTACTTTGTTCTTGACTTGTGTTTGGGTGAAGGTTATATTGTCAAATTTTGGACTTAAAAGTTAGATTGTTTTCATTAACCAAAATTAAATTTTCTCAAAATAATATATACTATATTCAGGTGATGATATAAAGGTTTAATTAGTCGAACCACGTACAAAATTACGTATCTCGTCTCATATCAATTCCTCTCACTGTTGTTTTAATATTGCTCTTCTTCCTCGCATCTCAAAGAAGCCATTACTTTTTATATGAGGTAGGTTTACCACAAGTTGCTGTCAAATTTAGCTTAACTGAAATAAAATTAAAGTTTGCTACTTGATTGTGCGAAAAGTACCAATTTTCATAAGTAGGGGGACACCTTTCAATTTTTTTTTCCAAAGTCAGTTGTTATAAAATCAGACAAACAAAGAAAATAAAAAGAGCGCGGGAGGCGACCAATAGTCGAACTCCAGATGAGAGAGCCTTTTATGCCACATGATGGGCAGCCCTATTGAGACAGCGGAGAACAAAACAGTAAGAAACCCAACTACAGAGAGAAGCCGAGCTCTGAGCATCCTGCAAGATAGTTCCATCCTGATCATGAGCCAATTCACCTATCTGAGGAAGTCCCACCGATAACGGGAGCTCTTCTACGTGCCTCTACAAAAAAAAAAAACAAACAAACAAAACACACAAGCGTCCCCACTGAAGGCAACTAAGCTCCACCAAATGGACTTAAACAAGCCATTAACGCTTAGTCGGATACACCGAAACCAAAACTATGTCAAATTAATTTTTTTTTGGTTTAATTCCCACGTTACTTATTTAACGGACAACTCACAGAGTTGACTGTCACATAAGCTAAAGTTAACGGAGACTAACAAAGAGTGACCAAACTTGAGTTGTTGAACTAATTTAAGTGACTACGAATGAAATAAAATTATTTTAGTGACAAATATAAACTTTTTAAATAATTCTAGTGATCAAACTTGCAATTTACCCAAAAATAAAAATATCATTTTCTTTCAATACCTTATCTCCTCATCTTTCGACCCACCATCCCTTTCATTTCAAACCCTTCCTCCAAAAAATGTTTAGTCTAGGAGGAATAGTTCAATCCAACGATTCAAGTATGCAGAAAATAGTATTAAGTAGGGTATGATTTTGTTACTTGATTATGTTCGATTCTTTCACTCGAGAATTGTGTATCTTTTTTTTATGGATAACTCGATTTGATCCATAAAGAGAAACTTTGTTTGGAGCCACCCTATTTTTATATATGTTTAGAGCCACCTTATTATTATTTACTCAATATAATTTTAGTTTAATTATCTAATTCCTCGCCAAAGAAACACCCATAAATAGAAGAAGACGACATAGAGGAATCAAAATACCTGGTAAAAACGGATAAAGACAAGAAGGTTGAAACAGTGGATAAAACTCTAATTTTGGTTTTTACGTCACAACACGCGATCGAGATCAAGAAAAAAAAAAGAGTAAGAAATTGACTGTAATTTTGATCTTATTTGACGGATATATGTATAGTAGAAAATCCAGAGCTCAGTTAGGAAGATTAAAAGAAGCATATTTTTTTGCCTACCTTTCGTTGAATTTTTTGCCTACCTTTCGCCACGTAAGCAAAACACCTGTTTTCAAGGGTCCCAACCAATAAATTAATGAGTAATATTTAATTTCTCAGCAAATTCTATTTTCTCCGGTCTTTTCCAACTTTGTGGACGAGATTTTTCCCCTCTCTCTTTCTTGCCAAAAAATCCAAAAATTAATATCTTTGAAAAAAAACATCAGTGCAGAAATCGAATATTTACTAAAATCTCCTTCCCAATCTCCTCCTTACTACCAGTCTACCACATCAATGGGTCTCCTCCTGTCTCCCAACTAGCTCACTTCAACACCACACTTCTCCTAAAAAAAAAAAAAAAAAAGTAAATAAATAAACCCACTAAGTTGAGTAAACAGTGAAAACCCACTAGTTAGACTGTTAAAATTAGTTACTTTTCATTTTTCTACTAATTTACTACGTATTTATCAACAGCTTATTTACATCCTTCACACTCTCTGCATTACTAGAATAACTCGAGTCTAGTTTCGCACAAAAAAACAATTGACAAGATATATAAATTATTACGAAAAAAATCACCTCATCTAGTAAGTAAGATGAGATAAAAAGAACATTTATCTTCTATATTTTTGTGGATGACAACTAATAGGCAAAAACGTTTAGGATAATTATGTAATTAGCATCAGGTTGATTTAACAAAAGGAGGAAGAAAAAAAAGTGGTTGATAAAAAATATCCTAAATAATGTTATCCAAAATGTGGGGCCGACGGGTGCGCCAATATCTTCCACAAGAAAACACACAGCAAAGTAGGCGGAGAGAGAGAGCCGATAAGAAGAAGAAGAAGAAAAAAAAGAAAAAAAAAAGTGATGCCAATGCCAAACCCTCACGAGCAACTGCCGCGTGTCCCCGCCTCTCTTCCATTCTCAGCCACAAGATGTTTTCTCTTCTCGAATTTCCCCTCCCCCAACCCAACTAATGAAAAAAACAACAATTCGGGACCAAAAATTAAATATTGCTTGCTGAGGTGTCACCCTCCTTTGCCTTTCCTTTTTTCCGCCCTCTCCTTGTTTATTTATTTCACAAACCCTCCCTCCCTTGACCCGAACCATTTCCTTTTACATCTCCCTCCCTCCATGTTTCCTCTCCGCTCTTTGATCCTTTCCTTCTCTACTTGAGATTTTCCCCCGGGAAATTTCTTGTGTTTTCCGTGCGGCCAATCACTACTCTTCGCTGTCGGCTGCTTCTCGACCTCCGGGAGACTTTTCCTCTTTAGTTAACCAGAGTCCTTGCAGAGAGAGAGAGAGAGAGAGCTGCTTCCTCTTCTGCTGCTGCTACTTCACCTTTCCTCGGCTACCGAGTAGTGGAGATCGGATTCTATTTCTTCTCATGTGAGTTTTCTCGACTTCGGTTGCTAATTTCTTCTTTTTTTCCTTTCTCTGACTTCGTCGGTGATATATTCATGTACTGATTACGGCGACTCTGTTGTTTCTTTACAGAGATTTGCGAATCTGAGGCTTCAAATCGGAAGATTAGGTCCAGGTCCATGGCTGCTTCTCAGGTACTTTTTTACAAAAAAAAAAAAAAAAAGTATTTTGCTATCTTCTGGAAGTTAATTTTAGCATATTGCCGCTTGGATTATGTCAGAACTTGCTTACGTCAGCATTAATTAAGTACTCCAAGTGATTCCGGATTCTTCGTGACACGATAAGCATAATCATGTAGCGGTTAATCTTAGCCTTGATTACAGAGATTATCTGTTCAATTCGATTGTCTGCTTTGACACTTCTGTAATTGGAGACGAGAATCAGTTTTCGTAGTTAAGGTTTAGGCTTTTGAAGCTACGTTTCGGCTGATGCGAACTGTGATTCCGCTACTGCTGCAATTGATGCGTGAGATCTTTGGTCTGATTCGGTGAATTGATGCGGGTGTTTGCAGGATCAAGTTCAGGAAGCTGACATGTCGGGTTCAGGAGGTGAATGCTACGACGACAATGGTGGAGAGCAATTGATGGAATTGAATTCATTTGGGGGTCTTCAGCAGACTCCCAAACTGAGGAAGCCTTATACTATCACTAAACAGAGGGAGAAGTGGACGGAGGAGGAACACCACAAGTTCCTTGAAGCTCTCAAGTTGTATGGCCGTGGCTGGCGTAAGATTCAAGGTGTGAATAATACCCTTTTGAACTCTAGCCACTCACTTGAATCGTCCCAGCAACTTCTCTGTGTGCCAAATCAATATCAGTGGATGAGGTTTTGTTATTATCCCTCTTGCAGAACATGTAGGCACCAAAACCGCTGTTCAAATTCGAAGCCATGCCCAAAAGTTTTTCTCCAAGGTCGGCCAGCTGCTTATTTTGGACATACTACCACTGATCAATTAACTGTATAACTTAATGTGAATGGTAAACAGAATGGGAGCTCTTCTGACAAGCAGTGTCGATCTTATTTCAGGTGGCGCGGGAGACTACTGGTGTTTCAGAGAGCTCCTTGAAGCCAATTGAGATACCCCCTCCTCGTCCAAAGAGGAAACCGTCGCATCCTTATCCTCGTAAATGCATTGATGCTCCTGAAAGATCCGAGTCCCCAAGTTTGTTGGCCATGGAGAAGGGAAACCATTCTCCTACCTCTGTCTTGTCTGTGGTTGCCTCGGAGGCATTGGGCTCTCCAGCTTCGGGGTTGCTATACCGCTGCTCTTCGCTGACCTCATGTACCAGCGATGTTCAGTCCTTCAGCTTATTACCTCGTGAGAAAGACAGTGGGACCGTTGTATCAGATGTCTCTCCACTCCAAGAAAACACAAATTCTTCACCAGAAGGAGCATCTTCTGATCCAATGACCGAAACGTCTCTCACGGTAAGATAACAATCCTTTGTTCACGTTGAATGAATTGCTCCCCTAGATTTTAAATTGTCGATTTTGATTGCCTTATGCTCTTATCCATTTCGTTCCAGAATTCGGAGGATGGCTCCAAGAATCCATCTTTCCCTGAAGTAGAGGCAGCAGTCCCAATGGCACGTTCCAAGAGCTTCAAGTTGTTTGGGAGGACGGTGTTGGTTACAGAGTCTGAGAAGTATGTGGCAGCGGGCAGCCAACCAAATGTTGACATCTTCCTTGATAATGGCGAACAGAAGTCCTCAGACATCAAATTGTCACTGGGTTTAGCGAACCATGACTGTAATTGGTTGCCTTCGTCTCGTCTCCGCATGGAAGTTGAGGGAGAGAACACTGGCATCTCAGAAGCTGCTTGTTCAATACCACCATTGACTTTATTTGATGCACTGTCGAAGAGTCCTCTGCGGTCATTTACGGGGGACAATTCAAAGGAGAAGGATGTCGTGGAGGAAAGGTCTTGTTCCGGCTCAGATGCAGGATCAACAAGTGAAGTAGAGAAAAGAGGGAGATCCATGGACGTAGGGGAGTCCCAATGCCAAATATTACCCCGTGTGGAGGAAATGTTTGCCAGTAGTGTGAGGAGCAATTCGACGAGGGGTTTTGTGCCATACAAGAGGTGCCTAGCAGAGAGGGACATGAAATCGTCATTGGTTGCTTCGGAAGAGCGAGAGCAGCAAAGGGCTAGAGTTTGCTCTTAGCCCTTAATCTCTCCCATTTGCCCTTTGTGTATAAAGGTTGAAGAAGAGGAGCTAATTTTGATGGCGGTGAAGGCCCTGAAGTAGCTATGTAGTTAACGTTATAGAGACCCTGTAGAGCAGAAAACTGATTTTTGGTCTTTATAGTCTCTTCAATTGAAGCAGCGGCTTGCAAAAGTTGGCGGCTTTTAGCACAGAAGAGGAGACGGCAAAGATTCTTGTGTGATGATAATGTGGATACAGGAGAGCTCCCCTACTAATTGTAAATTATTCATCGCTAAGGTTCTGTTTGCTGCAGAAGCTGGATGATCGGATCGATGGTCCTGCGCCTGCTGTTGCTGCTACGAGTTTAGGGCCGGAAAAGTCCTGCAATTTAACTTAAAACTGTTTTGGCTCGAATAAGTTGATCTGTTGGTTTTGTTCGCCAAGTGACTTCCCTTTTCTTGAATGATCCTTTGTTGCATACCATAACTCCCTGTGTTTTCATTTCTTTCAGCCTACTGTTGTCACATTCTTAGCCTTCCTCTCTCTCTCTCCCCAGGCTGTTCGTTCAGAACACTTTCAGAATCCTTTTCCAGTTGAGTATGTACCAGTTTTGCGCGTTCCGAGTTTCGTATTACGCCCTTCAGGTTGTTTGTTAGAACTGTTGAACGATGGTTTGTCCCAGAATTTGGAGATACTTGGTAGCATACTGATACATGGAGAAGGGTAAGGACTTGTTTTTGCTCTTGTTGATTTAAGATTGGAAAAGCAAGAGTACAAGCTCCGTAAACCGTGACTACATATTTGTCAAGTAAGGCGAGATATGCCCTCACACCTCCTGTGCAGAAATGGTCTTCATTGGTTCAGCGTTGGACCTTTGTGAAGCTCCGATCTGGCTTTTGCAACCTCCATGAATATCAATCTGCCGTCCAGAAACTAAGAGGGCAGTTGGTTCTTGATCGTCACTGACCTCATCTAAACGAAAATGGACTGCATTAACTCTACTCATGGAGTGGTGAAGCTTTACCTTCCCGTGCATTCCTTTGATGGCATTCTGGGATTCGTCTGCAGTGGCAAAACGAAGGAAGGCAAAGCCTCTCGGCCTTCTTGCAATTTTGTCCATCACGAGATCGACTGTAGGACAACCACAAGTTCTTTTATATGAAGGCCGAAGGTTAAAAGCTGACAAGAGAAGAAAGATCACTGAATTGATTTCGACGATAAAATTCATTGGCATTACCTTCTGCGAGTTGGCCGAAATTCTGGAAAGCATTCCGCAGACTTTCCTTGGTTGTGCGGAAAGATAGACATGTACAAGATTGGCCCACGCTGCAAAGTCAGTGTAGCTAGCTACAGCAGTGTCACTGGAGTATCTATTACAGAACAACAAGCAAGAAAGACAAATGTGAGGAGCAGCCGCCTGTTACAGCAGCACTTGAAACCGATGTTCATACATACATGGACTACTCAAATGACCACAGGTACTTGTAGTTAACACTAAGTTATTGTAGCGAAATCCCGAATCATAACTGGATTACAGGATCCGAAAATCATGTAACAAGTACAACAAAAAAGTTCCATTGCTGACTTAATCTGTGACAGAGGAGAAGAAGCCAACTGTAATAATGAACTCAGGAAGCTGCTTCTTGGCTCTCTCCCAAATAACTCTGCTACTTCCTCACCATAATATACATCACAACACGAGGGCTGCGATAGTCAGGATGCCACTCCGACTGCTCGACACGCCCAACCTTGAACACCTTCATGGCTTCCTCCAAGAAGTACTCCAACACTGCATCTGGAGTATGAACAATGTCTTAGTCTCAAAAACAAAAGGTGCTGAGAGGATGCCTAAATAAGATGCATGGGTGGGCAAGATCAGGCTTACCGTTCCTGAGCTCCCCGGCTATGCATACTGTCGTTTCGGATCCACAGAGCTTTAGGAGTGTGTCTATCAAATCAACCACTGCCCCTTCGCTATACACCACGTCTGATCCCACAACTGACAAAACTAATGATGGTTTAGATGTAGGATTTTGGAAGTGATGGATTGTGCAACTCATGGATTTAAAAAAGCAATGAATTGTGATTTTCATACATACAATGACATAAATACTCTCGCCAACATAATTCTCTCCATTATGCACCTTTTTGGAATTGACAAAAGAAAGGACAAAGTAGACTAATATGGACTTCTTCATAGACCATGGCCTAAGGTTGAGTTTTTAAATTCTGTGGGTGACCATTATCAATTTCCAACTTCATGGACTCGGTAGGTGCTCATGGAAGCCACTAGTTGCATTTTCAGAATGAAAATTTCGGCAGTTCATACATGTTAGAGTACCGGCAAAGTCATAACGGCTTTTCGAGAGAGAAGGGGCAAAACCGCAAAAGTATGGTTCAGCTGTATCAATAACCTGCTGCTACACACTAATATTGGGTACTACCACCTATTGCAACTTGGGGAAACTATACGGAAGCTCTCTTACCATAATCAGGTAAAGGTTGAGTCATGCACCGATCAGGTTCGTCACCCCAAGTAAGCTCCTCCACGACTGCAGAGCCACGTAGGTGTTCATGTCCCAAATTGCTTTCTACATTCTTTTTGAGCAGTCTCAGTCGATCAGGGAGATCAGTGAGTATAACTTCAGCACCCAAAAGAGATGCTATGCAGCTGAAAATCAAATCGATTTTGGCGTCAGTAAGGTTATGAGCGACTGATATAATGCTGCTTCTTGAGCATCTTTTATTTCTTCCTTTTAAAGACCTCGGACATGAAAAGGGATTGCAAGTCAGGTCTTGCGTTCTGACTGTACATAGTATTAGGTTCTCTATGCAAGCCCCATACCTTTACTCCCAAGAAAGAAACAACCAGGAAAAACGAAGCATAAAAAAGAGGATGTTATCTTTACCCTACCAATCCACAGCCTGAACCCAACTCAATAGCCTTCTTTCCTTGAAGAACAAGCATCTTCGAATCAACCGCATGTTCCAAGAACTTGCCTAATACAATGCCACTATCCCACATAACTGAGCCTGTTACTCCCGGTGTACCCTGTAATGCAGAATGCAATTCATGGTAACAAATTCAAGGCATAAATAACAGTAAACCAGAACCAAGATAAAAATATAACATTTCGGCTGCTGTATCGAATCTAACAAATAAGCGCTGACGGAGACTATGTTTTCTTCAAAGAATGAAACAAAAAAACCATTGAGGTAAAGGGATGACCATAACATGAAGGCAAATGGTGATAGCTATACAAGAAAGAAAGAAAAAAAATATGGAAGCAAGTACCAGTGAAGAAGGAGACTGCAAAATGGAGAGGGAGTGACCACAAGCATCAAGGCTGAGTTGGAGCGAAGACTGAGCAACATAAGCATTGGGTTTGGAGAAAGTGGGCTGTTGGATTCCCCATAACAACATGATTTCTTCTGCAGCAGACTCTTCATCATCCCGCAACACCCTCACGTTCCCTTCGTACAACCCTAGCATTCCCAAATTCAATTCCTCTTCTTCTTGTTCCAGGCTTTCAATAGCCTGATTCTCCATGAATTATGAACTCTCTACAGACCAAACTATGCAACTTGCTGCTTCCAATCTAAGAAATTATGAAGCCAACAATTAAGTAATGGCCATTGCTGACTGCAAAGGAATAGACAAAATCACTAGATAGCTGCCAAACAGAGTTCCATCAACACAAAACATGTAAAGTTCAATACTTTCTTAGTCACCCCTTCAATGGCTATTCCTACAGAGAAAGTTCTAAGCTTTATGATATGATAACTTATACCCATTTCAGCAGACGCCATATCAATTACAAGACTCCAAACAGAAATATTAATCATCGATTGGCCGCATGGATTCGACTACCATGAACAATCCATCACCAGGGGGAAATAGACAAGCGAAAGCATCAACAATAAGAATGAATATTAACAAAACGAAGCGATTCGAGAACAGAACAGAACTAAACATTACACTTCCAGAGCATGAAGCAATTTCTGCTTAGCTTTCTTTCTTCCTTCCCAGAACGAACATCCAATTCCCAAAGTTCCAACTTTGCAACTGACCAACTTCGTCTCGTACAGTCAGTCTCCGGAAGAAGGCTAAATCTGAAGCTCGAGCTGGGCCACGCAGGTTCTTCATCCTCCAGCCCATGGGCCATGATCCATGCGGACAAAGCCTTGTGTGTAATCATCTGACGGTCACAATCTCTCCAGTACATCCAACGGTTGGCGCTTCATTTTGGCCGAAAGGGAAGATCCGAATTCCGATTCCGAGCGCCACAGTCTGCGTCCTCTTCGCGGCACAATAAGCAGAAAAACCCAACCTGCGATCTAGTCTTCGCCGCCCCTTCTTGCATTGCACCGAGGTATGACTGAAATATTTCGTTACTGATATTCTCTTCCTATCTTTCCGTCTCTTTTGGTTATCGATCTTATCTAGGAATGGGGCGTGGGCGTGAATTTTGTATTTGGTTCCTTAAAAATAGAAGCTTTTCTTCTCCTGGGGTTTAGGGTTCTTAAACTGGACTGTAAACGAATGTGGGTCGGCCCTGGTTTTCTGGATGAGGTCTAAAGAGGATGTAAATAAAGCAGTGAACTTCCAATCCAGACCTAAGTGAACCAAGAATCTGCTGTGCGAAGTTTAAGTTTGAGACACTAGGGTTAAGATGATAATCATGGAAAGTAGAGCATATAGCTTCTAGTCTGCCTATCAGCTAAGCTGATCCGTTTTTTGCTCTGTTAGAATTCGGAACTAGGGAGATCTCTTTTCCCATTACGGTTCTTGCTTGGGTATTTCCGTATCTGTTGGAATTTTTCTCAAGTGGTGTAGACTTCTATATTGGGTCGAAAAACAGTGGTCATTCTGCTGGATTCTGTAGACATTCTTATCATGTTTCTGAGCTGCCGAAGCTTGAGTTCTCTGTTCTTTAGAATTCAGAATAGTGAATACTTTCCTTGCATGCACAAGTCTTGAGTTTCTATTTAGAAAGTCCTTTTCTTGTTGTCTTTCCATTTGTCTGTCATTCTTTGGAAGCAGATGAATGAAGCTTTCTTCTTTGGGAATTCATTTTTAACTTCCTTTTACCCTCTCTTCTTTGGCAGACAAGACAACTAACAGATAAGGTTAGAGGATGGCAACAATGAGGAATCTGAAGATCAAGACGAGCACAAGCAAACGCATAGTGAAGGAGCTGCACTCGTACGAGAAAGAAGTGGAAAGAGAGGCCGCCAAGACATCCGACATGAAAGACAAGGGGGCTGACCCTTACGATCTGAAGCAGCAGGAGAACGTGCTGGCAGAGTCGCGGATGATGATTCCAGATTGCCATAAGCGCCTCGAGGCTGCACTGGCTGACCTGAAGGCGACTCTCGCCGAGCTGGAGGAGTCAGGTGAGACAGAAGAGCCTGAAATCGATGATGCTAGAACCACTGTTTCGGAGGTGGAGCAGTTGTTCGGCAAAGGAGATGATGATGCTTAGTACTAAGAAGAAGCTGCTGTTTGGGGTAAAGATTTGCTTATGAGGTGATTCCCTATACCTTTCTGGCTCTCCAGTTGTCGTTAGATGGATTCAGAGAGTTTCTAACTACTGGATTGATGATGTATGGACCATTACTCTGTTCTGGTTTAAACAAGAAATGTTTTGATGGAACTCCTAGTCTTTGTCTCTTTTTCCTCCTATCACTGTCTGTCAGGATCAGCTTGGGCTCAATTGAAAGACAACGTTCTCGTATAAAAAAATCATGTTTTCCTAACCAATAAATCAGTTAAATCTATTTGCCACTGGTTGAACTTGGTATAACCAAACTGGCTGGAATATTATCAATGTGATTGTTTCAGCCTCTAAATAAAATCACTCCGTTACAACTTACAATGAATTTAATTAATCAGAAAATAATTTTGCGATTGAATTCATGAATTTGGAAGTTAAATGTTTATATTATTTGTTGGATTCAAGTATAAACGTGTACATGTTAATGTTAAATGTTGTATTTAAATGAGTATTTTTTTATTTTGTTTAGAAGGGTGTATTTTATTTAAAGATAAATGTAGATTGTCTTCAAATATATTTTTATATATATTTTGTTAGTCAGACATGAACAAACAAGTTGTACTCTGATCTAATCATAACACTTAGTAAATCGGTGTAAATATATGAACTGACACCCTTGTTAAATGGGTTATAGGTATAATATGCCCCTCTACTATGACGTTTTATCAAACATGCCTCTCTACTATTTTTTACGTCAAACATGCCCTTGTACTTTGAAAAACTTATCAAACATGCCATTTTGCTAAAATTTCCATCCAAAAACCGTTAACCAAGACCGAACTTTGGTTTTGGCGACCCAAATATCTAAAATATCTCTAATCATTCCACTTTAGAATTTTTTTTGTTCTTTTGTATAACCAAATAATTATAATAATTTCACTTTGATGAGACCAAGAAAAATAAAGCAAGGGTCAAAACTGACATTTCCCCTCCCATTTATCGATGTCAGGTCGTCTAAATCTCGATTCAACCATGATTGACGATTTTTTCAATGGAAAATTCAACTGAAGGGCATGTTTGATAGTTTTTCCAAATTACAGGGGCATGTTTGATGTAAAAAATAATAGAAGGGCATGTTTGATAAAACGTCATAGTAAAGGGGCATATTATACCTATAACCCTTGTTAAATCTCACATTTCTCAATTCTACGAAATGAGGGTGTAAATATATAACTGACACCCTTGTTAATTCTCACATTTCTCAATTCTATGAAATGAGGGTGTAAATATAAACCGACACCCTTGTTAAATCTCACATTTCTCAATTCTATGAAATGAGGGCAAATAGACGGATTCAACCCAAGCATGCCACAAGCTGCAGTCTAATAGTGATCGTGACTCGATGAGTGGACGAACAAGGGCTTCACCTAGTAATAATAATAAATAGTACTTTATTAAAAAAAACGAAACCTATATCACCCCTTTTAAAAAAAATAGTGACATGAAATTTGACATTGGAAATGAGAAAAGAAAACCCATCAAAGCTTTTAAATTGCTCGAAAACACTGTCGACATAGTGAGCGTATAATCAATCACAGAAAAAACACACGCTGCCGCATTCGATACTTTTACTACTTACGCGTCGCAAAATTGTCAGTCCAACGTGAGTGACATTGTAACATGACACCATGAGTAAATATTTTCACGAGGCATGTCAACACCATAAGAACAATGCTATCATAACAGCACAACAACGGGGCTTCGCAGCAATTCTCCTGCGATGATTGCTTGTTCATTCCTCAATCCTCTTCCTCATCAGAACTTTCATATGCTAAACCTAGTAAGCTTTTGACAGGATTTCCCTCTGCTTCAACTTTTGTTTGCATACTTTCACAGTCCGATTTGAATGATGTTGATACATCAGATTCTTCTTCTTTCACCACCCGGCAGTTCTCGTGCTTCAGATCTTCTGAACCATGATTGCTTGAAACTCTGGGACGTTTGGGTTTAACTTCCACCACTTTTTTCAGTAGATCCTGCTGCCTAAGGAATGAGAGAATTGTAATTTTTTAGAGACTACAGCAAGACAAGTAGAGACGTGATAAGATTGACAGATACCTTATGCCACTCTTTGGTTTGGGCTCCACGCGAAGTGGTAATGGAACTGTTGCTGGTGTAGTATCTGCCAAGGTTGCAGCTTTGTGTCAATTAGTTAAGGATTACATAGACATACAAATAACCTATAGCTGCTCCACAGATTAACTAGACCTAGACCAGCAAACAAAGAATCCTTACTCATGCAAGATCTATGCACAAGTGCAATAGATAAATTCTGGATGAGAAGCATAATGAGATCGAACACCACAACCATGATGGAAAATACATCATATATTGCTTTTAAGGTAAAAGAAGAAAGGAAGACCAATGTCTACATAAGCGACCAAGCAATCATTGAACTTCTGAAATACCACAAAAGTGCAAATGCCATATATTGGTATCAAGAGCATACATCAGTAAATCGTTAAACAGACTTGGTAATACAAGGAACGACAATGGCTTTAAAGCATTATATTTCATTATTGATTTTGTTACCCTTTACTCCGCATTGAGATGATCCTTTTTTTATACTGAATTCAATCTCTAGATTGAACTTTGCTATGTATGGAAGTTTTGAAATCATAATGCCATAATCAACAGATTGCATGAGGACTCATGGAGCAAGATTACACGACAGAACAAAAATAGTTCTAAACTATTCTATTTGCCACTTCTATGGAAAAGATTTCCAAACAACATGATTGTTTTGCCACAAAAGGATATTTTGAAGGCAGCAAATGCTCTTTTTTCTGTGCGCCTTAGGAGCCTTTCAGCATCCTCTTCAGCTTCCATTTGCTCCTTGAGGTAAAGCAGGTCGTCACTGTCCAAAGCTGCAAAACCAAAACTTGAGAATTTGAAGAACTATCACAAGAATCAACAAACTGCCGTTTCCAATTGTCTAGCTCTCTGAAATGAGGCAAGGTCCAGGCTTGTAAAAAGGGGGAGGGGGGGGGGGGGGGGGGGGGGGGTGTATTAGAGTGGAAATGATTGAAGAGAGTACCGCCTCGCCCATGAAGATAGCCTCCACGTTCTCCAGCAACTTCTTGCATCTGGCCAAGGTATCAGCCCCATAGGACAAGCCAGGATCCCTGTCAGGGCATGTTATCAGAAAAACTCTCGAGGAGTTTTACAAAAATTACAAGTTACATAAGCCACCTGCCATCAAACGACTAGATGTAGAGTAGTAGCCTACTCTATTTCAGAAATCAGAACCATGCACCTGAATTGACAACTCCATCAGTCTATATGTTTTAAGCACTACTCCGTTAATAACCCAAGTTGCTGAGAAATGCTATCATCAGATATTAAACCTTTTCGTTCTGCAAAACAACCAAAAATATCTAACTCCTACTTGTGTGATCTCCATCCTCTTTGTTCTCTACCCTAACTATCCATTCTAGTGTTAAACAGGCTTGCAATTGAACTTTAGCACATTCAACAGAGCTAAATACCAGATCCAAAATAATGATTGGTAAACCAAAGGGGGATCAAGATCAGGATTAGGAGAGGCGATGCGCTAACCTTTGCAACCATGCGCTGAAAGGTGACATCTTCATCGTCTGTTTTATCTTTCCCCTTTCCCCATTTCTTATCTACAATCAGATAACAAAAATAAGTCACTGAAAGCTGCACAATGAGAAAGGCAAGCAAGCTACAGCTCTAACCAAGCGGGCAAAATAGTGAAAGCACAACTACCTTTGGGGTCGGTGAGATTGGTGTATTCTCGCACTTCCCTTCCCGCCATTACACCTATCTGAACAACCCAGTTCGTTCCTTTACCTTATTCTTCCCCACTCCTCGAATTAACTATCAACCAAACGAGAGTAGCTCAATTCCCTAATGCCCGACTGCAAGAAGGAACATGCAGATGAACCAAAGCTCTGCTTCAGCAGTTGAAGAGAACCTTCCAGAATCTACGACGACATTACAGACAGAAACACGAAGAGCCCTAATTGTCAGACCATTACAGGAGATGGCGAAGGTCACAGGACAGAAAAGCTTGCGAGTGGGGACGAAGGGAATCGGGGCGACGAAACGAACAATTATAACACTGATGATTGGTTTTGAGGATCAGAAGCGATGTTACGTGGAGAAAAATTGAAATGGAGAAGCGAACCCACAAATAGGGAATGAGGAACTGCTGCGGTGGAACTTGAATGTGCTATCCTGGGACTGGGAGGGAGGAAATTACTGTCGGATTAGGGATTTGTAACTTTCCGGTGCACGGGGACTGATAATACATTTGACAGCAACCAAATAACCAAAAAGTTCCTATTTTGTTTATATAGGGCCAATTGAGCCAACAACTTCCTTAAAACTATCTGATCTGCCACTTGCCTCTTGCCATGTTAATGGATTCTGTGGTAGTGTGGAAAGGTTAGGGTTGCAAATAAATTGAGTGAAGTCGGGTCGAGTCGAATTGAGACTTTACTTAATTTGAGTTTGAAGTTTTAATAAATTAGTCAAATTCGAATTCTACTCGTTTACAAAAATATTGGATTGTGTTTGACTCGACCTATTTTTTCTTTAAATTATGGTTTGATTTTCGAAAACATCAAAGTTGTTTCAGGTACTACTATTTTGTACTATCATTTGTAGAGATAGATTATCAACACTCATTTCCTTGTCTTTTATGGATAATATTTTGTTTATCTTGTAAGTAAAGATTTATTGAAGAAAATTCATCCATTTCCAATTTTTTATTTTTAGTATGACTCCCTTCCTTTTGTCTTATGGATGCATCATGCACTTATATGTGAAATCCACTAACAATATCCCTCATATATTTTTTTCAAGAGACTTGATATAACATCTTAATTTTTCTTGATATACTATATTGCCATGAATCTTCATAGTTGCGAATCATTTGATGAAAAATTATAAGTTTCAAGACTAATTGAGATGCAATCTGGATTATGTTCTTCTTCATGCCATCACATTGCCTTATATTAAGTATCAATCACTTGCAACAATACTTTTGAATATGTGGCTAGAATTGTTCTCTAATCTCAATCCATTTGATTCTCGTATTTATACTATATTCACAAGTTATTTTTTCTTTGACCCAACAAGTCATGCCTTATGTGTGTGTATATATATATTCATATGTATATATATGGTGGCTTATACGGTATCCCGGGTGAAATCTGCGGTACCGCATACCTTGAGTATGAAAACGCTATCTAGACCTCGAATAAGCATGATTTTTGGGTCTGATACTATACCCTAACCCTTAATGAGTGAAGCCTAGGTCCTAATTATCTAAATCGTAAACTATAAACTCTAAGATGGTGCATTCAGTAGCTACATGGTCAAGGCACTTTTGAATTATTACTTCTGCGTCTCCATGGAACTAAACTCGTGGAAGAAACCGTTGCACACAATCTGTAAGAGCATCCCTTAAAGCCATGGCTTCCATGACTGCAGGGTCTTGAATGTGAGGGTAATGAATGCCTGCAGGCACAACAACACCACTTGTGGCATCCATTATTTCATACCCAATATCCCCATGAGAACCCATTTTAATCACACCATCAAAGTAACAAAGTAGTCCCCTGATTGAAGACTATAATGAGGGGACTGTATTGAATCAAGTAATGAGTGATGATTTAGTTGGGGAGTAACTTGGGTCGAGAAGGCTTTGTTGGGATAGATATGGGCTAATATTGTTAAATGAATCCACGAATCAGGCTAAATTATATCATCAGATTAAGAAGGAATTGAATCTCATTCTTTATGAGTATGACTACTCTAATTGCATCCCCAGGAGTGAAGATTGACATCCCAGAGCAGATTTTCCTCATCTTTATGAGTATGACTACTCTGATTTTTGTTTTCCTCTCTCTCTCTCTCTCTCTCTATGGAGTAGAACTTTCTCTCACTTGGGTATGAAGAACCCAAGTTCCATGTGTTAGGGATCTTGTTTGTAATGACTTGGGATTGTTATACTGATTGATTTTAATCGATTGATGCATGATTCATTGAGTCAATTAAAGCCTGATCATCTTTTCTTGATTTTTGCTGCAACCTGAGATAGATAGAATCTGATTAGGTTGTTAGAGCTTCATCAATCGGTAGTGGTAGATTGATTATACGAGAGTTAATCGATTTACTGATTTGTACCGGAATCCAATTCCAGTAGTGGATTTCTGTGTTCATAGCCTCAGCTTTCTATCCCGGTGAAGACTAGTCGTCTGCCGGGTAGTTGGACTGAGAGGGCTTGGTCAGCTTAAGAGATTCCAAGCTACTGTCGGATCTTCCGCAGTTTAATCAACAGTTAATCAACCCAGGGTAATTACAACTGTGACCTAACTAAAGAGCTAGGGGGACTCATTCCCGAGTGACTCTTCCCTTGCTTTAGAAAATCGAATCATTTCCTACTTTCTTACTGCTTTTACTTAAATGAACAATCACTCGACTTAGTTTGCTAGATAATAGATATTCACGGAGTAGGCAGTAGATCTAGACCCCGGGTTGACAATTAGAGCTTGCCTGTTACTGTATTTTCGGACTGCGATTACACTTGGTCGCAGTTTGGTGTTGTGTTTTAGCGTGTCAGTCACATATCACCCATACCACTCAATCAGGCAGCCCATGTTGCTCAGACTCCCACACCTCCAATTAATCTCCATACAAGATGGCCAGACAACCCATACTAGTCTCCTCTAGCCCATGCTTCCAAGATGGTTGATCTTCTTGTTTATTGTTCTTTCTGTTCTTCCTTACATGTATAAAAAGGCTTACTAGCCTCCTGTAATCATCAAGCAAGCAATCAATAAATCTTATTCATCCAAAGTTTGCTTCAACCAAATTCATCATGGTATCAGAGCTAGATTCTGAATCCAGTGAGGGGAGGCCAAAGAAAAAAGAAAAGGAAGAAACGAATCCCTTGAGAGTTTTTTCATACCTTTTCTTTATGCCTTCCATTTATCTGCCCATTCAATTATCAGTCACAAGAGAGCCTTTTCCAGGCTCCTCTTCTTTAATCCCAAGCTTCCGCAAATACACTCACTACCATTGAGTTCCCTACCGTTGCAGTCATCTCCCGTATATTAGGGTGGTTCTCTACATCACCAGAAGTCGTAATCGACGGCCAGTCATAGTCGCCGCTGACCTTGAACATCGTCGCCCATGTGCACTTCGCTTGCTGCATCTCCACCGGCTGCTCATCGTCTTCACCGCTCCAGGTCCTAGAACAGAGATCAATCACTGCATCACCTTGTCTCTAGACCGCCGTCGATCCTCTTTGGGGATTCAACATCTCCGTCTTTGCTCTGCGGAGTGGACGATCTGCTCGTCTTCGGTCGGAACCGCCAAAAATCGCGGCCAGTCTTTGCTCAGACAAGGCCATCCTCATGTCCAGGAGCCACCACCAGTAGCCCTCATTGTTGCGCCGCCGCTAACTTGCATCCCGTCGCAGTCATTGACTCCTACCCAACGCTGCCTGCTCCAGATCAGGGCCAAAGCGGCTCCGACCACCATCGCCAATGGTGCGCTTTCACCGTCGCCGTTGTAGCTTCTCCGTCGAATACAGGGGGAGTCTTGCCGTTGCCACCCCTCCGCATAGTAGGAGCTAGCAGAGGCGCCACAGGAAGCTGATGCCGAGAATAGATCTGACACCACTCGGCCGCCAGACCGCCAGAAGCACCGCCGAGGATTTTCCACCGTCATACAGCCCCGCCAGTCATATATGCCAATGGTCGCTGAGTTCCGGTCTTTGCCGTCATCGCCATCAATTTCAACCATCATCGTCGACGACCATCATCTCTGCAATCGGCCGCTCCCGTCACCAATCTCCTCGCAGATCTCCGAGGGTGAAGTCGGATGTCGCAGAGGTCACTTTTGCCTGCTACCACTCACCGCTGTCGTGTCGTTGAATGAGTAAAAAAAAAGGAAGATGCAGATGGGGGAGAGGAGTGGCAGACACCCCAAGGAGTTTCGCGTAGGGTTTACACCCCCATTGGGCCATTGATTGAGTTTCAGCCCAGGATTAAATAGCTAGCAATCAGAATTTATCCCTTGATTGATACAGGTGATTAGTCATTGTTGGACCCCTTTAATTGGTTCTTTTGTCCAATTTTTACTTAGTGGCTAGGAAGGTCACGCCATTGTGCGAGGTATTCCCGATCAGGTAGTTCTTTTGGCGTTATTAGACGGTTGTACAATCCAAAAAGAGATTGTTCCCTCGACGTCCAAAGGGAAAATATGACCCAAGAAAAGATAGGGTTCTCAGTTTCACGAGGCAAGTCACGATCAGATCGTCCCTTTGATGTTCAGAAGGCAGTTGCGATCCAAGAAAAGATCGTCCCCTAGGTGTTCATTATTGGGTAAAGACCAATTATTTATCATCTTTCAAGCTGGACATTCACAGTGTTCATGCTCCAGCTCGAGGGGGAGAATAAGGAAGATACTGTAAGGAATGCTAGCCATCTAAGAAGCCGCAACATATTCCAAACTGCGAAAAGCTGAAGGGTAAGCCAGCTAGCCAATGAGCAGCCGCTATTCCAAAGAGAGGAAAGTTAGCTGAGAAGCAACAAGTTTTCCTTGGAGCCATAAAAGGAGCAAACCCGAACTAGTGAGTCGATTTAATTCGACATATCCATAAGGTTGCTTGAAGAGATACCGTCAGTGGCTTCCAAGATGTTCAAAAGACAGTTACGATCCAAGCATATCGTCCCTTTTTCTGTTTTTCACATTTCCTTTTCAAGCTTGTCATTATTGTCATTCATGTCTATGCTTGAGGGGGAGTGTAGGAGATCAACAGATCCACTTCATCATAGTTGACTGTCACTGATAACGATGTATTTGCACATGTTTGCGCCCTTAGTTCTTATCCGTTTGCGGCTCGTAGTGGTGTATTATTGGCCCGTTTTACGCTGGGTTATGCTACTTTTTCGTATTTCAGGTCCCAGACGTCGAAGGAAAGGCTAAGCACAAGATTCGGGGCGTTTGGAGGTCATTCGGTCGAGCTGGGAGCAAAACATGAGCAGGAGGCCTGAAGAACACGGCCGTGTACACAAACGAGCACTCAGTGTTTTTATGTGCGAGAGCTGAACTGATGGAAAAGCAAAACACGGGCTGGTCTAAAGAAGAACACGGTCGTGTCCCAGGCCGTGTTTTTTATGCCGAGGGTTGATTGAAGGGAGCTCATGTGATATCTAAAACACGGGCATATGTGAAGCAAAACACAACCGTGTCCATCTTTAGGCACGACCGTGTTTTGGCCGACGCGGGCCTGTTTTTAACACGTGGCAAGGGCACGGACGGGCAAAAGCAAAACACGGCCGTGCCCTTGACCGTGTTTTGCCCAATATCAACTTTTTGAGGCAGATTCGAGCCAAAAGAGAGGGAGTCGACTTTTTGGAGCAAAAACAGAGTTTTAGAGAGAGAAAGTGCGAAAAACAAACCCTAAGAGCTATTTGGAGTGGATTTCTCACCATTGAAGCCCAGATTGCATCCCCAGGAGTGAAGATTGACATCCCAGAGCAGATTTTCCTCATCTTTATGAGTATGACTACTCTGATTTCTGTTCTCCTCTCTCTCTCTCTCTCTCTCTCTATGGAGTAGAACTTTCTCTCACTTGGGTATGAAGAACCCAAGTTCCATGTGTTAGGGATCTTGTTTGTAATGACTTGGGATTGTTATACATATTGATTTTAATCGATTGATGCATGATTCATTGAGTCAATTAAAGCCTGATTATCTTTTCTTGATTTTTGCTGCAACCTGAGATAGATAGAATCTGATTAAGTTGTTTGAGCTTCATCAATCGGTAGTGGTAGATTGATTATACGAGAGTTGTCGATTTACTGCATTGTACTGGAATCCAATTCCAGTAGTGGAGTTCTGGGTTCATAGCCTCAGCTTTCTATCCCGGTGCAGACTAGTCGTCTGCCGGGTAGTTAGACTAAGAGGGCTTGGTCAGCTTAAGAGATTCCAAGCTATTGTCGGATCTTCCACAGTTTAATCAACAGTTAATCAACCCAGGGTAATTACAACTGTGACCTAACTAAGGAGCTAGGGGGACTCATTCCCGAGTGACTCTTCCCTTGCTTTAGAAAATCGAATCATTTCCTACTTTCTTACTGCTTTTACTTAAATGAACAATCACTCGACTTAGTTTGCTAGATAATAGATATTCACGGAGTAGGCAGTAGATCTAGACCCAGGGTTGACAATTAGAGCTTGCCTGTTACTGCATTTCCGGACTGCGATTACACTTGGTCGCAGTTTGGTATTGTGTTTTAGCGTGTCAGTCACATATCACCCATACCACTCCATCAGGCAGCCCATGTTGCTCAGACTCCCACACCTCCAATTAATCTCCATACAAGATGGCCAGACAACCCATACTAGTCTCCTCTAGCCCATGCTTCCAAGATGGCTGATCTTCTTGTTTATTGTTCTTTTTGTTCTTCCTTACATGTATAAAAAGGTTTACTAGCCTCCTGTAATCATCAAGCAAGCAATCAATAAATCTTATTCATCCAAAGTTTGCTTCAACCAAATTCATCACTTTTCATTTGGGCCAAACAGTAGGAACTTCAAGCGGGCTCTAAAGGCGCGACTGGCTGCGGAGGAGGCTCTAGCACAGCTGCAAATCGCCGTGGAAGAAGAGATGGGTGACCGATAGGACCATGATGTGGTCCTTCCCGAGGAGCAAACCATGGGGTATTACTGGACCGCCAGAGTCGCGGAAATGAGGTCGCCCATTCAACACCCTCATGTTCTAGCGAATAACTTTGAGGTGAGCACTTCTGTTATCACCATGCTGCGCGGTTCGGTGGTATTCTGTGGCAAGGAGGGGGAGTGCCCCTGATCACACCTGAGGCGATTCCACGAGCTCATCGATGGGATCAATATCAATCAGGTCCCAGCCGATGCAATCCAGCTGAGGTACTTCCCTTTTACTCTGGAGGGGCAAGCCAAGGAGTGGCTAGACACTCAACCTCCAGGCTCGATCACCACGTTCGCCAACATGGCAGACAAGTTCCTCACTCGCTACCATCCTCTGTCCAAGGCGACGGACGTGCAGAAGAAAATTACCCACTTTGTTCAAGACGAAGATGAGACCATTCAGGATGCTTGGGAGAGATACACCAGTCTCTTCCTCAAGTGTCCCAACCATGGTTTTACCGACGCCTTCAAGGTGGGAACCTTCTACCATGCCCTCTTCCCGGAAAACAAGCAGCTGATTGACTCGGTCTGTGGCGGGAATATGCTCACCAAAACACCGCCACAGCTGAATCAACTTTTTGAAGAGATGACAGAGCATGGCTATGATTGGGGAACTGCGAGGAGATTGAGACGAGCACCAGGGCGGGGTGTGCATGTTGTAGCCACCCAGTCATCTGATTTTGTGCAGGTGGTATCAAAACTGGTTTCAGCCATCGATCGCTCTAGGATGCACTGCCAGTGGTGTGAGAGCTCCCATCACACCGTGGAGGACTGTTAGGCGATGAGGGAGTCGTCTACTCCCTAGGAGCAGGGGGACTTCATAGGCAATGCCAGGCGCTTCGACTCCTACAGCAACACTTACATCGAGGGGTGGCGCCAGCATCCCAACTTCTCATGGGTTAGGGCAAATTCTAGACCACCAGTCCCCCAGGGACCACCTGGCTTCCGGAGGCCTCCTTACCAGCCCAGAGAAGGGCCATTTCAGCAGCCTCTCTACCCGCCCAGACAGGGGCCAGTTCCACCACAGTCACAGGTGCGGCCATTTCATCAGACAGGGGCAGCACCTGCTGTCCCAATACAGAGTGACCCGATGGCGGAATTGCGAGATCTGGTGGGTTCTCTGGCAACCTCCAGTGCAAACAAGTTCAATAATATCAAGCAATTCATGGAAAAAGCTTCAGGTAAATTCTTGGAGCTAGAAGCTGGCCAGAGAAACACGCAGGCTGTGCTGCGAGACATCCAGACTCAGCTTAGGAGTGTGGCCCAGGCTGTAGCTCAGGTAAATTCTTGTCCACCCTCATGACTCATCCCATGATGCCCATGGTCACCCGCACCTGCTTCTGTCCTTTCAAATTCCACATAATAAGAATTAGAGAACGCAAAGTAATCGTTCTCTATATTTTCTCGGCATACCAGCTGCCTCCTCGCCTCATTGGTAGTGTTCGACTTCCCTTCCAAGTATTGCAACGGTCTTGGTAGAGTGTCAACGCCCAGAGTAAGAAGCAACTTCTTTCCCCTATTTTCTCCCAAGAAAAGTGCCATAAAATGACACCCACAAAAGATGGGGCTTGTAATCAATAAAACAATTATACCCTCACCAATGAACTGTGGCCAGGTGGTCCGCTTCTTCCTTTCTACTCTTACATGCAGTTCCCCTTCCATTTCCAAGGATGAAGTCCCGTACGAAAGCAAATCACCACTCCCACAACTAAAAAGTAGCTTGCGAAAGACATTACCTTTTGCCCAGCCCGTTCGTACGGTACCATACAGTGGAGTTTCGCTCCTCTATAACTTTCCGCAGCTCCTTCTTGCCCATTACCTCAGTCGGCCGGCCACGTAACTCTTCCACATGAACCCATTGGACGACGCACGTCGCGGCTGGCCTCTCGACAGTCCTGTCTTCTTCTTCCACATCAGATGGTGGTGGTACAGCTACTGTCTCTTCATCGTGGTCTGGACGAGCGACGACTTTGGGATTTTTAATGTTGAACCGGCCGTTTCCGACCCAACTCGTCTGGTCCAACAGGATACGCAACCTAGGGTTTGAGAAAAGAGATACATTGACCTCCATCTTCGTTCCCTCCGTCGTCGACTCATTCCCCGATTCTTCCTACTGTCCGACGCGACCCGCCTCCGAGATCGTCTTCTTCTCCCTCGTGAAGCCTCCTTCCTCCGCGCGATGCGCCCACGTTGCTGACCCGACGCCTGCCGCCTCCGTAGCCGAGCGCTCCCCCGCGTCGGCGTCTGTGGCTGCCTTCTCCGCCTTGGTTAGTGCCGCCCAGCCTTGCGGTGCGACATCCTCCGCACGATCCGCCCTCTCCGTCGCTCCGCCTGTCACCGCCGCGGCGAGGCGCACCCCTGTAACTGCCTCGGTAGCCAACGTACCACGTGGTGGCTCGGCCGCCACCACCCAACCTTGTTCCTGCGCCTCCCGGTCGAGCGCATCGAGTGATTGCTGGAGCTGTCATTTGAGTTGAGCCCATTCCGGATCCGAGAGCTTTGACGAGCTCATGTCGGCTCTGATACCAAATGATAGAACCTGGTATTAGGATTCTATCGGATCTGGTTGTAAGATTGGGAATTAGGGATTTAAGAATAGAATTAGGATTTGAGAAGAGAAAGATAGAGAATCGGCCTAGGCCTTTAGAGGGATTGAGGTCTAGAACTGAGAGGATTGGGAGATTAGGGTTTAGGAGAGTTTTCTTAATATTCCTCTTATTGATTCCTAAACGAATAACAAAGTACACTTATATAGAAAAGAGCTTTAAACCTAACAATAAACCTAAACTTAGCAACCAAGTAATGATTTATTTTAATAATTATCTCTAATATGAATATGGTAATTATAATTGAAACCCGTGGAGACTAGGTTTCTATCACAATCTTCTTGTCTCGGCCGCCTCCTTCCACTTGCCTTGAGATGTGTACAGATTTGCCATCAATACATAGTTCCCAGTGCTTCCAGGGATGAATTCTAACAGCTTTCTAGCAGCCAATTCGCCAAGCTCGATGTTTTGATGCTCCTTGCATGCACTTAGAAATGGAGCCCACATACGTCCCTGAATCTTCTCAGGCAAATCTAATGTGGTTTCCAGGGCCAAGTCAAGCCGACCAGCTCTACCCAGAAGATCTACCAAGCAAGTATAGTGTTCAATTCTGGGTTCTAAACCAAAATCCTTCTTCAGGCTCTTAAAGTACTTCAACCCATCCTCCACAAGTCCTGAATGGCTGCAGGCCAGTAATATGCTCGTGTAAGTAAGACCATCTGGCACTATTCCTTCCGTATTTTGCATATCGTGGAAGAGACTCAGGGCCTCATTTCCCATCCCATGAATGGCATAGCCATTTATCATGGAAGTCCAAGCTTGCAAGTCTTTTTTATCTGATATACTGTCAAATATTGTTCGTGCTTTCTCTATACTACCACATTTGCAGAACATGTGTATTAAAGAGGTCTTGACCTGGCGATCCAACTGCAACCCATTTGAGAAATCTGGTAATGAGCTGGATTATGGTGGAAACCCGCAGGGTTTCTGGTTGCCTCAAGGGCCTCTTATATATGTGCATAGAGCTAATTGTACAGGGAAGAAGAAAGAAAGGAAAAACAAAATACAACAGTAACTATTCTATCTTCCTATCAATCTAAGCCACGCGTCTATGTACAGTAAAACTGGAACGGGTAACTAACACTAAACGGAACGACACCGTTCTCGCTCAGCTCCTCTATTGCTTCCGAGACAGAACGACGACGTTCCTCAAGCTCCTCTAGTGTCAGCAATGGCGGATCATCCTCGAGTGCAATTCCAATCCTGAATGTGTATGTATATATATTCTGATATCCTCCTTCAAGATGACACATACAGATTCTGTATGTTCAGCTTGGACAATATGAATTGAAGTCGATACCTGCTGAGTCCTTTGGTGAACATGTCTGCGATTTGGTTCTCCATTTCCAGATGAGACAGATTGATAAGCTTGGACTGGAGGAATTGTCGAACCACATGACAGTCGATCTCTATATGTTCCGTTCGTTCTTGGAACACCTGATTTTCTGCAATGTATATAGCAGATCGACTGTCACTGAATATTTCCACAGGTTGCTGATGTTGACATTAAGTTCTTGTAGCAATCTCTTCACCCACACAACCTCACAAGTCAGCTGAGTTAGAGCTCTGTACTCAGCCTCAGATGAGGAACGGGAAACAGTTCTTTACTTCTTGGATTTCCAAATAATTAGAGATTTGCCCAAGGAAATGCAATAACCTATCGTCGATCTCCTTGTATCTGGGCAGGAAGCCCAATCTGAATCGCTATAGCATCCGAATAGGAGATCAGACTTGGATGAGTAAAATAATCCTTGGGCAGGTGTTGTTTTCAGGTACTTGAGGATCCTATATGCTAGTTGCATATGTCATGTAGTTGGAGCTGCTTGGTACTGAGAAAGTTGCTGTACAGCAAACGTTATGTCAGGGCGAGTAATGGTTAAATAGTGCAGACGACCCACAATCTGCCTGAACAAGCTCGGATCATCCAACAATGGTCCGTCATCAGTTGAAAGACGTGTCTTCATATCAATTGGAGTGGCCACAGGTTTGGAATCTCCATACCCTGAATCCAGAAGAAGGTCAGTGCAATACTTCTTTTGGGAAATGTGGATGCCCTACCTTGATCGAGAAATCTCAAAGCCCATGAAATAGTGGAGATGATCGAGATCACGGATCTTAAATTGGGAAGCCAAGAACGTCTTGAGAGCATTCATAGAAGGTAGATCATCACCAACAATAATTATGTCGTCGACATAAACAAGGAGTACTGATGATCCAGAAGAAGAATGATGGACAAATAGTGAGTAATCACTCTGTGATTGAGTATAAACAAACTTCAGTAAGGCTTGAGTAAGTTTGGAAAACTACTGACGAGAGGCTTGCTTGAGGCCATAAAGGTATTTTCTAAGTCTGCACACCTTGCTGCTGTCATGAACACCAGGAGGCAGTTCCATGTACACAATCCCGTCAAGATCTCCATGTAATAAAGCGTTACTTACATCAAGCTGGAACATCTCCCAATTCTTAGTAGCAGCTAAAGCCAGAAGAGTCTTAACAGAATTCAGCTTTGCCACTGGAGAGTATGTATCTAGAAAGTCAATGCCATATATTTGTGTAAACCCCTTTGCCACAACTCGAGCCTTGTATCTTTCAATGGATCCATCAGAGTTGAACTTGATGGTATAAACCCATTTACACCCAATAGCCCTGAGGTTAGGAGTCCTGTCCACCACATCCCAAGTGTGGTTAGCACCTAGAGCCCTCATTTCTTCATTCATAGCACTTCTCCAATGTTCATGATTCACTGCCTCTTCAAAAGTTGTTGGGATGGAAGCCATTTCAACTGCACAAACATACTGTCTATAACCAGGTGACAACTGGTCATAGGAAATATAGGCAACCAATGGATAAATGTGTTTGTCATGTTTGGAATTAAGAGACAGTACATAGTCATTGTACTTAATAGGAACTACATGGTTCCTAGTAGGTTTGCGAAGGGCAATGGGCTGTGTTTGGGATGGAAAGGGAGAAGGAAGTTGAATAGGAGAGGGAAGTGGTGTTTGAACAGAAGAATGAGAAGGGGAAGGTGAAGATTGTGGTGGTGAGATAGGTGTAGGAATGAAAGGTGAAGCAGGTTTAGGTGTTGTGTTTGGAGAAGGGGCAGGTGGTGGTGAAAGAGTAGTAGGTATTTGTTCTGGAGTAAGTGGTGTAGTGTTGGGGAATGTAGAGGGAGCAGGTGTATTGGTTTCAGGTGCATCATCAGCAGAAAAAGTGGAACAATGTAAGATGTGCTCATGAAAAACCACATCTCGTGAATGGAACACTTTATGATCTTCTAGATCATATAATTTGTACCCCTTAATCCCTAAAGGGAAACCAAGAAACACACAATTACGTACTCTAGGGAAGAACTTTGTTCTATGATGTCCTAAAGTGCTAGCATAGCACAAACATCCAAAGACACATAGGTATGAAAGGTCAGAAGGTTTGCCATATAGAATTTCATAGGGAGTTTTATTTTTCAGAGCAATGGTAGGCAATCTGTTTATGAGAAACACAGAATGAAGAATGAAATCAGACCAAAACTTGAGGGGAAGGCCTGATTGGAATTTCAATGCTCGAGCCACATTCAAAATGTATTGATGCTTGCGCTCAACACGAGCATTCTGTTGAGGAGTCTCTACACATGACATCTGATTAATGATGCCATGTTGAGAATAGAAATCAGGAGTATGAAATTCAGAACCTTGATCAGACCTAATGATTTTGATGGTTCTGTCATATTGGTTCTTAACCATAACAAAGAAGTCTTGCAGAAGTTTTCTGGTTTCACTCTTAAACTTCATTAAGTAAACCCAAACAAACCTCGATTTGTCATCCACAATGGTGAGAAAATACTAGAAACCATTGTAACTAGGGGTAGCTAAAGGACCCCAAATATCAAAGTGAATAATGTCAAACACATCAGTAGCAACAGATTGACTGGAAGGAAAAGGAAGATGTTTTTGTTTGGCTAAGTGAAAAATATCACAATGATATAAAAGGTCTGAATCTATACTAGGTACAGCCTTCTGTAACTCCTTAATCCTATGCTGTGATGGGTGGCCAAGCCTCCAATGACAAAGGTCAAATCTTTGAGGTGTGTAGGTATGTGTATTGAGGTAATTGACATGTATTGAAGTGTCTTCTGATGGTTTGGTAAGCTGGTAAAGTCCTCTACTCTGACGGGAAAAACCAATCTTCTTCAATGTGATAAGGTCCTGGATATGGCAAACATTTGATTGGAAAGTGAGTGAAATTGGCAAGGATTTGGCAAGCTTACTAACAGATACTAAGTTGAAAGAGAAGGCTGGAACAAACAACACTTCATGAATTGTAAAGTTTGAAACCAAAGAGACAGATCCAGAATGTGTAGCAGAAGTCTTGGAACCATGAGGTAAAGTGATGTAAGTGTTTTGAATTGGCCTGTAACTAGTGAAGCAAGATAGGGAACAAGTAACATGATCTGTTGCACCAGTATCCAAATACCAGACATTGACAAGTTCATTCATTGGTTGCACTGTATAGTATGTTGAGAATATGTGTTTACCTGAATGGTTCTGGTTTACTTCCTTGTATCTCCCTACTGAGTTGACCATAGGTTGATTCTGTGAAGATGATGGAGAGTTCATGTGTTGTCCAGGAGAGACTGGGGGAAGTTGGTGATTGTGGTGGGCCAATCTGACAAAGCAGCTTCTGAAGCTTCCCAATGTCTTCCATAGACAGTCTGATATTAGTGAATCCATCTCCACCATTATCATTTGCACTCTTAGAATATGGCCGTGGTAATATACCACTCCCCATATCTATTCCCTGAATCTGCCTAGCAAATGCATTAGATGAACCTTGCTCTTTGTTCTTTCTCTTTAGCTTGAAACAATATACTATGACATGGTTGTCTTTCTTACAGTATCTGCAAAAGATATTACCCTTAGGTGTCTCTTTGCCTTTGCCCTGACCAGTAGCAAGTAATGCAACAGAATCCACTGCTTGCGTCTCCTGGTTAGGTTTGGTCAATTGTCTCTCATGTTGGATAGCATAGTGGAAGGCAACCTCCATTGATGGTAATGGAGTCATCATGAACAGATTTGTTCTAACCCCTCCATATGCATCATTTAATCTAGTAATGGATCTAGACACAAATTCATTCTCTCTGTATTTTCGAACAGTAACTTCAGTAACACAAGCATCAAGTCTAGCTCCTATTCCACCACAGGTACAACTCGGAATAGATAAAAATTGAATCAATTCTTCCCAGTGTGCTTTCAATTCAGTGTAGTATTGGTTGACCGACTTGTTACCTTGTTTAAGAGTGTAAACAGCTGTCTGAAGATCCCCAATTCGGATGTTATCAGCCTGCCCAAATCTCTGCCTTAGATCTTCCCAGAGTAACCTTTGAGATGAGACGCTGTCCACCAGGCTTGGGTCGAGGGAGCTGAGAATCATAAAGTAAACAGATGGATTACTTTGTTCGCAAGCTGCGTAGTGCTCACTGGCCATATCTGGAGCTGGAAGAGTTCCATTGGTGAAAACCCTAGATGCCTGAACCAGGATCTGATACCATGAGAAATCTGGTAATGAGCTGGATTATGGTGGAAACCCGCAGGGTTTCTAGTTGCCTCAAGGGCCTCTTATATATGTGCATAGAGTTGACTGTACAGGGAAGAAGAAAGAAAGGAAAAACAAAATACAACGGTAACTATTCTATCTTCCTATCAATCTAAGCCACGCGTCTATGTACAGTAAAAATGGAACAGGAAACTAACACTAAACGGAACGACATCGTTCTCGCTCAGCTCCTCTATTGCTTCCGAGACAGAACGACGACGTTCCTCAAGCTCCTCTAGTGTCAGCAA